AGCTACATAATTTACATATCTGGAGTTGCATATCTTATTTCAACCTTCCCGTGTAGTGTAGAGCAAGCCCGAGAGTCTTTATCAAGAAGAATAGGAGGTATTATTTAAATTACCAACTTCTCAAACTGGCAGCACTCCACACCAATAACTATGAACAGGAGAGAAAACTCCGTCTTTGATACAAGAACCAAAGAAACAATTTGGCTTTTTTTGGACTCCCCAGAACTTAATAAAGAAAGATTAATGCCTTCTGCTGGAAAGCATTTGTTTGGCAAACAAGCAAAAGTTAATTGCTGAAACTGTTTGCTCTGAAATGAAATCTCTTCTGATGGGCTCAACTTTGAAGTCCACATAGTACAGTGATAGAAAACGTAAGGATCCAAAATCTGCTGTCACATTACTGTTAATAACAAGATGGTATCTTTGTAACTGGAAGGCTGGACCTGAAGATTTTAATTTATTTGTTTTAAATCAAAGATATTTCCATTGTCTTGCTTGTTTTAAATCAAAGACATTTCCATCACTGGGAATTCACTAGTATCTATAGTTAGGCTAAATTTGGTGTATTTATTTGATTACATAAGTAATTACTATGACAGTGAAATGTTGATTGTCTTCAGAAATGGGGAAATCACTGGGGTTGTATATTATTTGGTATACACGTGTGTTTCACTCGCATCATCTAGTAAGTGTGTATTTCATACTAATCGTTGTTTAAGACCCAACTTTGTTAAAAAAAACTTGGACCAACAGTATTACATTCTGAGTCCCAATGAGTGAATGCCCCTCTCTGTGAGTTCCAAACCCCTGTGCTTTTCCCATGGGGAGGGAAAGGCATTTAACTATATTTCTGAAATAGAGCCAGGTTGAGGAGCATTTTCATAGTTCAAAAACCTAAAATTGCCACGAAAAAGCTCTTGGTTTTGATTTTGAAGGCATGGTCACCTTATTTCTATACTATGTGATTGCTGGGATATATTGGCATGATGCTTGGGGGAGGCCATGTGATATTGCTTATTACCCTGTGTGGGATGGATTTGTTTTGTGCACAAACAGAGAACTTCTGGTTTCCGAGCTGCTTGTCCAACATCGTTCACCAACCATAAATAGAGAGGATGCAAGATGATCTCTGTGCATGTGGCAGGATGTTACACAATGGAAACATCTTTTTAGAGCCTCACATGGCTCTGGAATGGCAAAACCATCTTTGGGGATGAAATCTTTATTATTTGCAGCTCACTTCTCAGGGAGGTTGAGATTTGGACCATTCTCATCATGTAATTTTTTTAAAAATTGTATGTTTGCATCTCCAAAACTAAAGTCCCGGGTTACCTAGCAGCCCACCACGAGACCAATGCCTTGTCTTAAATAGATATCTCAATGGAGAGTTCTTAGAAAGTCTGCAATACTCCCATTCCATTAGTGCCTTTTGAAGTGTCCAATATGAGAATGCAGCCGGGAAGGGGAAGGTTGAATTGTGATACGCAACTCCAGGTATGTTAATTAAAATGGGGAAGGAAAATAAGAATCAGGACCTGGGGAGGTTAATGCCAGCCTCCCTGCTGCCGGTCTCTGGGCTTTTCCCCAGCTGCTGGGCTTCCCTGCTGGCTGCCGGTCCCCACTCCTAAGCTCCCCCTCCTGGCCGCTGGCACCCTTGTTGCCAAACTGGCTGGGCTCCTGACCCCCACAGGCCACCAGCCCTCTTGCCACTGGACTCCTCGCTGCCAGGCTGTCTGGTCAAGGAACATCCATAGTCCGACAGGACCACTGATGATGCCGGAGAAGAGAGTCCTGGTTTGCCGAGTTCAACCTGAACTATGGGGTGGAATCTCTATCTCAACATTAATTGTTCCTGATTTGGCCACTGTACTGTCCAATCTTCCCTGAATTGGTTTTTAATGTATCATCCACCATTCTGTATTTTACGTGTTTCAGTGTGTGGCATTGGAGTAACACCAATGAACACAACGGTATAACTTAGTTACAGTCGGTATTTTCTAAATGTGTTGCCAATGAAACCAGGAGCAAGAGAAATATGAATATTCTAACGCTTTGCACATTGATTTGGGTCAATTAGCCAGTGTGTCCATGGACAGTATTTCACTTTTTTTTTTGGAAATGTAATTCATGTTAAAACTTCTGTTGAATTAATTAACATTCCTAACAAATTTGGACATTTGAAAATCAGGCCACTGCTTTAAAAGCAGTGTTAGAGTAGAATAATAAGGCATATAATTAATGTAAGAGCAATATAATGATATTCATTACTGTAACATTTAGGATTAATATCCAGGAAAGATCCTGAATTATATGTATTAAACTGAGGAAAGTTGTGGAAAGCCATTAGAAACTTAACTGGAAAAAAAATTGTGTGCAGTGGATGATAGATTGCATCCCTAGTCAATTCAGGATTGGTCTCAATGACCTCTAAGTCTTTTCTATCTCCAGTTTCATTTTTTGACTCTCCAGTGAGATACTCCATTAAAGCCCTGCATTTTGTTCAAGAAGTTCTTGCTTTAATGCTCTTCTAAAACAGCTGTAGTTTGACATGACAGGCAGAGATATATTGTTGCCTCGGGATGCTTTTCTTCTTTTGATTGATCACTGAATGGCTGAAAAATTAATTTTGGCATCTTTCCCTGAATCACTGGAGTTCTGTGCATTAATTTTGTTGCTTGAATTCCAGCAGAGATGTGCATTCATATTAGGATAAGGAATATATATGCAAGAAAGAAATACATGCCACAATTTTAAAAAAACTCATTTAATATACTGTACGTTAAAAATATACAGCCCTGAGTGTAAAGCTTTACATGCAGTCTCAGAACAGTTGGCTGGATTCTACTCAAGCTATTTAATATGGTGAGCCGGTACTTCTATCACATCCTTTACAGCAGTGATAAGTTATTTACCTTGGTTGGGTATCTCATTGAATCTGGCTCCCTCCCATACAGCTGGTGGAAGTGGTATACAGTAAATGCCTTTTATGTCCACAACTCCTCCCACCTTCAACAGAAGGGGAGAAGGAAGGAGAAGACCTAATAGAGCCAAGTTCCACAAAGCTGTTATCTATGGGAACTTACTTGAGCAGTGCCAGTGACATAGATTGGAGCAGAACCTCCGCTACTGTAATTTATCCTGGGTCCTGGGCATCCCTGAATCAGGAAGTCACAACCAGCTCTTTGCAACTTTCTCAGCTGTGCATCAGCAGCTCAGTGTTGCCGTGAATCAGGGTTCGTGTTCTTTGTATCATATTTGTAATGTGCCCCTAGAAAACATCACCTTTTATGAACCAATACTGAGACTTTGGAAGCATTGTAAGGGATTTAGCTGTTGCAGTCCCACTAACATCAGTCAGAACTCTCCACACAAATTCTCCACCCAAAATTGAAAATCTTATCCAAAGAGCTTGATAAAAATGCCTTCTACTTCAGCTTCTATCAAAGCTTTTCTGAAGCCATTGGCCGTTACATCTGAAGATCTCTCTGTTCTCAGTCTCTGCTATGTAAGGCATATCCTGAAGGATGCTTGTAAGGATGGAGTTAGGTATTCATATTTGCTTATTAAGGTTTCTTTGCAACATGGAAGGGCCAGAATTTTCTTGCAGCACAGGCTCATGTTAAAAGAAGTGTTTCCATGATCTATAATAATGCATGTTGGATCGGCAGTTTTAAAACCACCCTTTCTAAAAGGGCTTGGTATTGCTACTTTCTGTTTCCTTGCGTATTGTGCAATTGCATGTCCTCTGATTAGTGTCAGTAACTTGCTATGTCAAAAACAATGTTTCATATATTATTTCCCCTGCTTTGGTGTAGCTGGCAAGTTATTTTGGTTACTCTTGTGTCACAGTTTATTAATCTCACCCCCAAGGAGCATATGATCTCACTGTTCAGTGTAATCACTGTTTTGATGCTGTGTCATATGTATAATAATTCTTGGAATCACGATAGGCTCTGGTTTTGATCACATAATTGGCTAATATTCAAAGGGCTAATTAAATGAAGGGATGTCCAATTGAAAATGAAACTTTTTAACATTTTAATGGAAAGTGATAGACAAACTATGCAAACAGATATTTTTGAGGTGGTGCCTATGATGTACATACACACATACGAGGAGGTAGCATACAAAGTGCAAAAAAAAATTAAAAACTAAAGTTATCCAGTTCACCTGAGCACAGAGCCCTGAATTTTAGAGGTGCTGAGCTCCTGTAGTTTGCACTGACAACATGTAATTTTGTCCAGAGAGCGCAGGACCATTTTTTGGGAACCGTGTCTGTAGCCCCTCTTTTCAGTTTCTGCAGGCAAATTTCAGTTTGAAGGATAAGCAATTTTCCAGCAAACTGTGTATGGGGTCAGATTGTGGGCTGCCCTACTGAAATGTCAGTGAGGACAGAGGGTATGAAGGGATACTTCACTAAGACTAACCTGGTACTTGGGCCCCCAAATCTTAAAAATACTCTTGCAAAGCATGCACTCATAAGACCTCTCTACTCTTCTCTTGTATACATTGCATACCATCTCTGCCTACCTTTAGTGTTAAAAATGTTGTTTGTAGTGTTGTTGTAGCTGAGTTAATGATGGTGATGATTGCAAAATACTGCCCAAGTGTTCAAATATTGTGAAAGCAAGTGAATCTTTATACAATCATGGTAAAGTGATAAAATAATTACACTTATTCACGGGAGAGTTTTCACAAAACAAAATCAGGAACTGCCTTGCTCTTTCCTTTCCACAACTTTAATTCAGCCACTATTGCAATGTACCTGCACAAAATCCCAAACAATGTCAAGTACAGTGATATTTAATTTTTACTTTGCATTGTTTATTAGTGTCCAGTGGAACCCTGCTAGCTAAGTATTATTAATTGTAAAGAAAAAAGGAAACTGGGCTCCAAAATTCAACTAACTAAGAACTGATTCATATTAAATCCACTGGTTATATTTTTTGCAGAAAGCAATTTTTAATTTACAACTCTGCATCTGTGTTTCTTTTTCTTAGATTGAAGAGGATACGTGGCAGAAATACTATCTAGAAGGAGTCGCGAATGAAATGTATACAGAATATTTATCTAGTGCCTTTGTGGGTCTGTCCTTCCCTGCAGTTTGTGAGTAAGTAGATATATACTAATTGTCATACATTCGTTGCCTGCTCTCAAGTGAAATCAAAGGTTTCCATGGGAGGCATTTCCACTCTGTTACAATCCCGATATCGTTGCCTCATCAGATGGGATCCAGTAAAATAAACATTAAAGCAATCACTGTATGGAAGTACTACAAAAATTTTAATGTCTGTTTTCAGAAGAGACTTAAAAGTAAGGGAACATAAACGAAAGCCTAAATGCCAAAGTGTGTTTGAAAAACTGAATCAGCAATCTGGTTAAAGGGAGTTATTTATTCATAACTGGTGTCCAATTGTTTCTTCTAATAGTTCCCATTCTTTGGATGGTGCTTGTCAGCATCACTTGCTTGATTATTGCCTGATCTCTAGAAAATTATTCATTAATCTGGGCAGATGTAAAGGAGTTATATATACTGTAGGGAGAGAGTCATTTAACACATCATAGAACTGCCTGAAAAATGCTTTGAACAAACATAACTTCTGCCAGGAAAAATAGATCCATCTGACAATGAGAGGAGAACGTGTTGGGCATGGACTGAATAGTCCTGCATAGTCCACAGGGCAGTTATAAGTCTTATTCCTATAGAGGACTGAGTGGCCTTTCATCTGTCCAGGAAGTGCTCTGTCAGAAGGAAGTGAAAGTGCACAAAGCAACAATGATAGACACAAACACCCCAAATGCTTCCAGAAGAGTCTTGGCCAGTCTGATTTCTGTTGTTGTTGTTGTTGTTGTTGTTTATTATTAGACTCACACCAAAAAGTGTTGGGCACTGTATAAACACGTAGCCCTTGCCCTGAAGAGTTTACAGTCTAACTAGATGAGACAGACAGGGTAGGAGGGGAGAGAGTCAACAGAGAGGTGAAGTGATTGGCTCAAGGTTATGTAACAAATCAGCATCAAACCCACAAACAGATCCTCCGGGTATCTGAGTCCCAGCCTGGCCATGGCCAATAGACCATGATGACTCTGAGACATAAATCTACTGTCGCCTCCATTCTTGCAAGTGATAGAACTTTGGCCATAAATTATTTCGGAGCTTATGTAGATTTAAATGAAGCCAGACCACACGTCCATGGGGATTTGTGTGAGGAAGGTGTTCCCTTTGCAGCCCTTAGCTTCCAGGGCCTGTGATTGATTTATTAGCAGACAGTGCTGGTTTGAACTGAAAATTGTATTAAAAAATGTCTCCCTCTACGTCAAATGCACTAAGCCAAAAAAAAAAAAAATCACAAAAGATACCATTCTGCATGGTGTTAAGCAAAGTCTACAATACTCTGACCACATGAACTAAGCTGCTTTTATGAGGAGAAAATATCCAAGCAAAATTCTTTCTCAAATCCGGTCAAGTTTCCATACGTTTCCTAGAAAAAAGGTGGCGGAGAGTGTATTCAGCATGGAGTTATCATTCATTTAACCCACTGATATAGCTGAGGTAGAACAATCAATAAAGAAGGGCCATTTGATGAGGTTTAGGAACATCCCAGAACATTAGAGCTCTCCTCAGGCATTTGATTATCCAGAGGTTTAATTATCTGTGTTTTCTAGTTGAACTTGAAGAAAAAAAGATGTAACTAAATGCACCAGCAGTATAATGATAACATTGTTCAATTCAGGTTAATTAAAGCACAGTGGTAATTCGAGTGTAGTGTTGTACATCACTGAGCTTGGCACATAAGTATTTCCATTACAGTAAGAAGTGGCTTCCAATTGCAGATGACGCATTGGATGCCAAAATGTGTTTCAAGCTAGCTTGTGAAAAGGCAAAAAAGAATCAGTGGACACTCAGGGTGCATCTACACAGCACCCTAAACTCGAATAAGGGACACAATTTGTAATATGCAAATTGTGTATCTAATTTCAAAATAACACGCTATTTCAAGCCATCTCTACTCCCTCATGCAATGAGGTTTATCGGGATGGCGTAATAGTGCATCTGCTATTTTGAAAAATATTTTGAAATAACAGGTGGCTTATGTAGAATCTCTTTGGGATTCCGAAATAGCCATGCGGTGTATACATACCCCCAGAGTGTCCAATCAGCTGCCTGCAAAATGCAGAGACACTGAGCAATTTTTCTCATCATGCAGGGATCTTCAGCATTCATGAAGCCACTGGCATTTTGAAACACGGAAGAGGGATGTAAGGTGTGTTCCTGTGGGCTCTTGCTGTTGATTATTAGCCTGGAGGGGTTTTCAGCAAAGCAGAAACGTAACTGGTTGGTGAATGGAGTGACGGGGTGCCATCAGCAGCATCCTGATCACTGCAGGCCTAGTTGAGGGTAGTTACACCCTTTCTGGTGGGGGATTGTGAGCATCTGGGTAACAATCACAGGACTAACAAGGTAATGGGGGAGGCAATAGGAGGAGGACATTTGAAAGCCAGGGGCAGCTCCAGAGGAGCTCAAAGGATGAGCCTGGGCTAGAGAATGAGGGCTGTAGAGAAGCCTCTCTTTTCTATAAGCCTGTGGCAGGGTAGTATGATGATAGAGGCAATAAATACACTTCCTGATGAAAAATAAACAGCACCCTGTGCGTTTGTAACTGCAAAACCGTCCCAACTGTCCAGGCAGTGAGGGTCAGTAGGTAGCAAGAGAAGTGCCTTTTGATAAATGGGCTGCCACTCAGTTCGGGCAACTGGAAGCAAAAGGATGTGGAAGTAGCCTTAGTTTCTATGGAGATAGGACATTAAATGTGTTAGAAATATCACAGCTTTTTCCACTACGGTAAACGGCTCCTCTAAGTCAGAAAGAGAGGGTATTCCTAAGTCCTTGGGGTGCTTTATCTGCTAAAAGATTGTGGCCAGATGTGACTGTTTACGTTTTATTCAGTCGAGGGACAACCCCAAATCTGTAGTAATATTTTGCTCTTCAGTAGATCTCTTAATGCATCTTCTCTTCTTGTTTGTCATGAGGGTCCTGTGAGCTCTCAGTTCTCACACTAAATTGAAGCCTATACACAGAAATTGCCCTTCAAACACCAGCATTTCCGATACTTTCTCCACTTGTTAAAGCTGTGTGAAACTCAGTGCAAATGTTTTTCTGCAATTTCAGTTTGCATAGATTAGCCTCCTGCCCTCCTTTTAATTTCCTTTTCAGCTTCTAAGAACTCAGTCCTTCCCTTGTGCCCACACACACACCAAAAAAGAAACTCTTTCAAACCTACCACCACATTTTAACTGATTTTTGCAGGTGAAACCACACACAATTTCACCAGTAGCTGGAAGAGTGAGTTGGATTTTATTCTCTCTTGTGCACTAGAAATCTGTCAGATAAATTTGGACTGCACTGTTGCTGATGGTGCAAATGAAGCCAAATTAATGCAGTTTGATGACCATTACAGAGCTGTTGGATAAAAAAAAGTCTTTTGACTTGTAAACTGAGATATTCGAACAGGAAATTATGGAGAGAACATAAGAATGGCCATACTCGGTCAGACCAAAGGTCTATCAAGTCTAGTATCCTGTCATCACGCGGCGGCCAATACCAGATGCCCCAAAGGGAAGGAACACAACAGGTAATTCTCATGTGATTCCCTCTCCTGTCACCCATTTACAGACAAACAGAGGCTAGGGACACCAATCCTCTCCATTCTGGCTAATAGTCATTAATCGACCTAACCTCCATGAATCTATCTAGCTCTTTTTTGAATCCTGTTAAAGTCCTAGTCTTCACCACCTCCTCTGGCAAGGAGTTCCACAGGTTGTCTGTGCACTGAGTGAAGAAAAACTTCATTTTGTTTGTTTTAAATCTTCTACCTATTACTTTCATTTGGTGACCCCTAGTTCTTATATTGTGGGAATAAGTATATGGACTTTTTAGCTTAGAAAAGAGGAAACGAAGGGGGGATATAATAGAGGTCTATATAATCATGACTGGTATGGAAAAATTGGATAAAGAAAAGTTAAGTTTTTAATCTCACTTCATATGGGACCTGTTCCAAAGCCCTAATTATTTTTGTTGCCCTTTTCTGAATCTTTTCCAGTGCCAGTATATCTTTTTTGAGTTGAAGAGACCACATCTGTATACAGTATTCAAGATGTGGGTGTACCATGGTTTTATATAGAGGCAATAAGATGTTCTCTGTTTTATTCTCTATCCCTTTTTAATGAGTCCTAACATTCTATTTGCTTTTTTGACTGCCGCTGCACATGGAGTGGATGTTTTCAGAGAAATTAGTCCCCATCATATTGTATGGGTAGTTGGGATTATTTTTTCCAATGTGCATTACTTTACATTTATCAACATTATATTTCATTTGCCATTTTGTTGCCCTATCACTTAGTTCGGTGAGATCTTTTTGAAGCTCTTCACAGTCTGCTTTGGTCTTAATTTTCTTGAGCAGATTAGTATCATCTGCAAATTTTGCCACCTCGCTGTTTGCCCCTTTCTCCAGATCATTTATAAATAAGTTGAATAGGATTGGTCCCAGGACAGATCCTTGAGCGACCACACACTCTCCACTCTGAAAACTGACCATTTATTTCTACCCTTTGTTTCCTGTCTTTTAACCATTTATCCTTCCCTCTTATCCCATGACAACTTAATGAATATGAGTATGAAAATGAATATGAAAATATGAAAATGAAACCTGACAGTGTCATTTTTTTACATCCCCTGATTAAAAGCACTGACAGATGAGACACTAAATCTGTTTACTGTTCAGTCATTCTTGCTACCCACCAAATAACAACTTTTTCTCAGATTTATTACTGCTGGCAGCAAATGTCTCTACTTCCCTACTCATGCCCTTGCCAGCTACCGTGGACTATTCAAAACTATTCAAAATAGGTATTTACAGTGATTTGAGGAACCTCTTTGATTCTGGTCTGAGATTTGGATTGCTTTGCAAAGGTGAATTTCTTCCCACATTTTTGCAGCATTAATGAAATTGGTTCAGATTTACATTTGGGTGTGCAAAACCCTACTACAGCCACACGCTTTTCTTTTCACCATGACCAATCCCCTGTTAACCTTTAATATCTTTCAGTGGCGTCACTTATGGGCCACTAGCCCTTTTTGCTCTGCATCATTTGAAGAGCTAGTTCTCTGGCTTTTTCAGGTTTAATAGATGACATACCACAATTATCGTAAAATGGTTTTATAATGGTTTTAGTTGTAGCCAATGCAAAGACGTTCATTGATTTTTCTTGGATTTTGCACTAGGCTCACAGATTGTGGGCATCTTGCTTCTGTCACTAAAACTCACTGGCTATGTCAAGAACAGGGCCTGATGGGTATAAAAGTTCAAGCAAATCCCTTAGAAACTCATAAATCGTTCCCTTGTAAACTTTCCTTCTCAGTCACTGCATATCATAGTGCTGAGAGCTGTTTTCTGGTTCCATCACATGATTAGAACTCGACGGGGTTGTATACATCCCCGAGTCAGCAGACTCTTAAGAGTGAAAGGCAGTGGCATCTACTAGGTATTTCTCAAAAGTGAGCCTGCAGGGATGAAACTAATTGGCATTATCATGAGTTTTAGCAATGAAGCCATGAAAGGAATGAGAATTTCTGTATTGTCTCCCCCCAAGACATCAGGGGAAGGATTAACTGAACTGCTAAATTCTTTTCAAAAATATTGCCATGTGAACTTATTCAACTTTGCTCCCCAAAAAATATTTGGACCAATTTTAAATAATTTATCTTCACATCATCTATTGGATTCAGACTGTGGAAATCAAAAGTCGCATCATTCCCCGCTTTGGCTTGAACACGAACAACATTTTCCATGCACTGAATGTGACAATGGGTATTTTTTCAGTCAGCCATTGATTGCTTGCAAAATAGAAATGCTAATCGTGTTTCATTTTATTGGTCAGAAGGGGTTAAGACAGAAGACATACTCTGAAAATATGGCAGAGTTGAGACTGTAGATAAAATTCTAATTTTGACATGGAACTGCTAATGCCCCATTAAGACCGGTGTAACAGATTATACTGAGCTCCCCTCTCGTTCACCCCTCATTTACTTTGGTGTAACTCTAGTAACTACAGTTGCATTAATACTGATACACCCCACTTTAAATTGCATGAGAATCAGATCTTCTGAATTTTGTATGACTGCAGGTCAATACGCAGAGGCTTACATATTTCTTGATTGTTTCACTTCATGGTATGTCCCTTGCTTGGGATTTTTTTATCTTTCCCCCGTCGGGATACTTGGAAATTTCTGTTTTGCCATTTATTATTCTCAGTTTAAACACTTTTTCCCATTTAGATTTAATGCATGTTTGGGAATGAATTTGTGATAATGTGATGAACCAAACCTATGAACAATGGGGACTAAATTAGAAGTTACCACTTGAGAGATATTTTGGCATCATTATGTATAGTTCTCTGGAAACATCCACTCGATATGCAGTGGCAGTCAAAAAAACCAAACAATATGGGGAATCATTAAGAAAGGGATAGAGAAAAAGACAGTGACTAGCTTATTGCCTCTATATAAATCCACGATACACCCACATCTTGAATACTATGTGCAGATGTGGTTGCCTGATCTCAAAAAAGATATCTTGGCATTAGAAAAAGTTTAGAAAAAGGTGAAAACAATGATTAGGGGTTTTGGAAGTGGTGCCATATGAAGAGAGATTTAAAAGACTTAGACTTTTCTGCTTATTAAAGAAGCAACTAAGGGGGATATGATAGAGGTATATAAAATTATGACTGGTATGGAGAAAGTGTTTAAAAAAGCAGCTATCCAGTGTTTCTCAAAGAGAGCCATAGGCTCCCTTTGTGACTCAGTGTTTCTGATTTACTCCTTCCCAAAACACAAGAACTAGGGGTCACCAAATGAAAGTAATAGGTTTAAAACAAGTAAAAAGAACTTCTTCACACAGCACACAGTCAATGTATGGAACTCCTTGACAGAGGATATTGTGAATGCCAAGACTGTTACAGGGCTCAAAAAAGAACTAGATAAATTCATGGAGGTAGGTCCATCAATGGCTATTAGCTAGGATGGGCAGGGATGGTGTCCCTAGCTTCTGTTTGTCATAAACTGGGAATAGGTGACAAAAGTAGTCACTTAGACTGCCTGTTCCATGTATTCCCTCTGGTGCACCTGGTTTTGGTCACTGTCAAAAGACAGAATATTGGGATAGATTGACGTTTGGTCTGACCCCATTTCATGATTTTTATGTTTTTATTTCAAAATGTTTTATTTATGAGACTGCTGTATTCTGTTTAGCAGTTGGAATTTTATTCATGTATTATTATGGCATAACGTTGCAATGTGCATACCTTTGGTAACTGAAGCAGGATTTCTGGATAAAAGTAAATGGGAAATGCTCTGATTTTTTCTGAGGATAAGATCTAGTTCTTCATCAAAACTAGGCTTGAAGAAAATGTGAATGGCTTTGAGAAAAAAAAGATATACCAAAAGAATAAGCCTTTTCCACTTAATAGCTTGCTATATAAGATTCCTTTTGTGTATATGTTAATGCTCTGTGTATATTAATAGCTCACAAAGATTTCATCTTTGTGTTCCATTTCTCAGATACAAAGGCATTAGGTGCCTTAGAACTAGGAGATATCTGTACAAATACTCGTACTCATACTTAACAAATACTCCAGTGTACAAATTCTGCAGCAGGTTTCCCTATCTAATTTATGCCAATGACTAGTCTTACCAGTCAGGAGAGTTGATTTAATGGCAAGAATAATTTAATTCCCTCTGGGTAAGTAGAAACAGTTGGATTCAGCATCTTAACAGCCTTTCTTCATGAACATCTGCGTTCAAACCCCTGTAGTTAACAGATGATGCTTGCTTAAAAAAAAGAGAGAGATTAAGGCTTCCTATAATGTTGTTGTCAAATATTGTGGACCTCTCATCATTATTGGGAGGGAAAACGATCTGACGTGTTCTTACAGCCCTTTTGTTGAGGTAATTGTCATACAAAGGCCATGTACTAGCAAACGGCTTTTTTTTGTTTTGTTTTTTTTGTTTTGTTCTTGACATTATATTGTTGCCAGCAACATACTTTGGGTTTGTCGTCTTTGGCTAAGTTTCCAGAAATGGTCATGACAGTAAATTGTGCAAGCAAATACATATAACAAAATATTTATTGTTACAGATTAGAAAAACACTTTTAGCCATACAAATTGATTTCAGTACGAAGTCCTGTAAATATGAATTGTATCCTGATGCTACTACACTATGCCGCTTTCCCGTGGACAGGAAGCTAATCTCAACCATCCAGTTGAGACCCTGCACAAGGGTCAGATCACAGTTTTAATTTACACTAGTGGAGAGTACTGGAAAGCTTTGCTCATGAATAGCTTCTCCGGTATCCTCTTTGACCTCAGTGCACACCTTCCCTTCCTTAGCAGTGGGAGAAGTGGGATACTCCAACACTGAAGGCTGAAGAGCCACCTCTACCGGCATTGTGCTGATCAGAAATTCTCTCTATATAAGGGAAAATCTCTACTGCAAATTTATTTCTGCTTGTGGTTCACTTGATACAGCTTAAGCAGTGTGAATGGGAAAATCTGGCCTTGAAATAGATTGTCTAGTAGCCTCCCGTCATGTTACATCATTCTGTTTGGAGGTTTGATTTCTGGGCATCTAAAGAGCTCCATTCCTTTACAATTATGTACTTAGTGCCTTGTCTACTTAGTGTACTTAGCATGCTATTCATGTACAGTAAATGTGGGAAACACTGACAGTGTACTAAGTACACTGAGTCTATGTCTATATTACCAGAGGTATTCCAGAAAAGCACTGTCGCGTCCAGAGAACACGTCTGCTCTTCTGGTTTTTTTTTTGCGGAAGAGCAGACACGTTCTTTTGGAAGCCCTGTCTTCCTCCTTCCGTGAGGAAGAAAGGCTCTTATGAAAGAGGAGACTTTTCTGAAATTAGATCCAAATGGGCCAAATTTCAGAAAAGCCTCTTCGAAAAAAACTATCGGAATAAGGTACGCAATTTGCGTACCCTTTTCGATAGATCAGTGTAGTCTAGACATAGGCTTACTATACAAGATTCTAAGTACATCATTGTAAAAGAAGTTATTTAAATTGTAAAAAGCCATAAAGGAAACACTCCAAGAAAAAGATATGAATCCTATTCCACATGTTAAGAGCATAAGGAGGCATATGACTTTGTGTTCACATAAATTTGAGTGACAAAAACAAAATGAAAATACGTTCTAGCTAAGAATTTTAGTTAGTTTTCCATATGTTTTATTTCATAATTCTGAAATTGTCTGCCTTCAGGAAGATAGTTGATCAAGTGTTCAACTCAGCGGGATTCCAGTAGTGTAAAGCCAGCACTTCTTGGAATAATTTAAAAAACAACAGATAGTCTAGCAGCACCTTAAAGTCTGCTATACTGTTCATTGATTTTTAAGTTTTTCCAGTTACAGACTAACTCGGCTACCCTTCTGAAACTTCTTGAAATGTATTAGTTAATAGTAGCGTTCACGGATTTTCATAATTATAGTGGGCTTTGTTAAAAAGTCAGCATTTGTCTTTCTACACATTTTCCCCTATATTTGGAATTGTAATTAATTTTGCTAACTGTGGTGGTAATTGACAAATATTGACTTTTTAATAGCTTCTTCAGTGTTTAGGGGTTTAAACACTGGAACTGACTTTATCTAATGAATATGCAGTGGTAAGAACCAGGCTCCTATGACTAAATTCTAACACATATTTGAAAACTTGCTCCTAGACATTCACAGTACAAAAAAAAATGAAGAAGTGTTTTGTTTCGAGTATTGTGCCCTTTACTAGTTAAGTTTCCAGCACCATTATAATTGCTTGAGCAATATATGAATGAGGGTGGCTGTTGTTAACCTTCACTATGGAAAAGCCTTGATAAGTGCTATATGTGCCGCCAGCCGAGACTTTTTTTAGGTTTTAGCAAAAAGTCTCAAGGAAAAACGTGGGATTTTTTGTCCCAACGTGGAAGTCTGAAATGTTTTGACGAATACTAGATTCATGATAAATCATAAAGAAGCACTGAATCTTGACTTATTTTCTTCTGCAGACTGGTGTTTGCGAAGCTAAAGCTCTTAATGATAGCCATAGAATACAAGTCAGAAAAACGGGAAAGCAGGTATGTAAATGACTACAACATTTGACAGTTTTTCAGTATACACCATGGACAATTTGGTTTTTTTTCTGAACGAACATCACTCTTTGTATCCCTTTGAAAGCATTTCAAAGCATAATTAATATGGCATCACTTTACACCAGTTCACATGATATTGGCAGGCTCTGTCTTTCTCCCCCTCTGCACCTGAATTAACATTGCATCAAATACTTAGGTGGAAGAAAGGGTGATAGCTTAATGTACAACTTAGTACAGTTGGTATGTGTGAAGCAAATGGATTCCATCTTTTGTGCCCTGGCTGACTGCATGAGGGAACGGAGCTGCTCTGGTCTAGCATATTTTAGTGGACTTTCAGGAATGAAAGCAACAATCTCATGGTAAGATACACTGTTTTATGTACTGCATGCATTTCTCTGCATCACAGTTTTTTAATAGGATGAGAGAGCTACTTTTAGCATAAACATAGATGGTTTGGACAGTATAGATAAAACTGATAGATAAAGATAAGTATCGTGTGTGTGTGTGTGTGTGTGTGTGTGTGTGTAAATAGCATGATTGAGATGGGGAAGGATTTGGTTGAGTTAGAAAATTTAAATATGCCAATCTCACGCTACATGCAGAAATGAAAGGAAAACACTCTATAGCTAATAACACAAAATTTGCAGAGAGGAAAAGAGTTGATTTTGGTTTTATTAATACCTCCATCTTAGCATCATGCCCTTTTAGAGCATACTTGTAACAGTCTAGACAGTTTCCTTACCATCTCAGGGATCATGGAACGAATGTAGTGTGAAAGCAAAGTAATTTTGGACTTGCACACTGTATTAAATATTGCTGAAATGTGTTATCAGCATCCTGAATACAAATCCATTATAGCATTATAAGATTCTGTAATAAAACTGGAGGCATATGTAAAAGTCTATCATCTTCTCATTTTGGTAAACCGAAGATCACCTAAACCGAAGTTGGAGATGATGTTTGATTTATATAGCTTTGGATCATGTCTACGCTATCACTTATATTTACAAAATGTATGTCATGCAGGAGTATGGAAAAAACACACATCTGAGGCTACGTCTAGACTACATCCCTTTTTTGGAAAAGGGATGTAAATTAGACGTATCGCAATTGCTAATGAAGTGGGGATTTAAATCTCCCCCACTTCATTAGCATAAATATGGCTGCCGCTTTTTTTCAGCACGGAGCTTTGCCGGAGAAAAGCGCCAGTCTAGACTCTGATCTTTCGAAAAATAAAGCCTTTTCCGAAAGATCCCTTATCCCTCTTGAAATAAAGCCTTTTCTGAAAGATCCCTTATCCCTCTTGAAATAAAGCCTTTTCTGAAAGATCCCTTATCCCTCTTGAAATAAAGCCTTTTCTGAAAGATCCCTTATCCCTCTTGAAATAAAGCCTTTTCTGAAAGATCCCTTATCCCTCTTGAAATAAAGCCTTTTCTGAAAGATCCCTTATCCCTCTTGAAATAAAGCCTTTTCTGAAAGATCCCTTATCCCTCTTGAAATAAGAGATAAGGGATCTTTTGGAAAAGGCTTTATTTTTACCCATTTGCTATTAAAAAGAATCTGTGAAAAAGACATGGGATATCCAAGACAGTCTGAATGTTTCCACTCCTTATGTGGCTATTTAAAGTATAGCCCTAGTGAATGTTAGATTTTATATCTCTCCTTTTTTACTCCTGACAAGTGATATGTGAAATGGTGTATGTGACGATGGATGTTCTCTCTATGCAATACCATCGCCAATTAATGGGACCTTTCATTTAAGTCAGAATTTTGAAATGTTTTCAAATTCCATGGGCTTCTCTTAAAATAGATGCTTTCCTTTGAATTGCCTCATTCTGCATAAGCAGGTGTAAAGCAAGCAATTTATTGTTTTTATGTCTGATGAGTTTCATTCATGATTAGAAAGGACAGTGCAATAGAAATATTATTGATAACTATTTATATGAAGTTCTTGGTTTATACTGGTTCTCAATAAGAATTTGTATCCAACTCTGCTGTCATTGCTTCCATTGCCATTTTGTGACATAAGTGTTGATATTGTAGTTTTTCTTCAATAATTTAGGGGACAACCCATCTCCCATGTAGGTCAATGGGAGCCTTTCCATCAACTTCCATGGGAATTATATTGGTCCTTATTCATAAGATGCTCCAAAAAAGTAAAATAAAGTGACACAGCATGATAGAGCATCTACTTACATATAAATTACCTAATGTCACCAAAGTTAAAAGTTCATTGTTAAGAAATTTGGTAGGAGGTGAGGCTAGTGGACATTCAAAGAAAAAATACTAATGAAGATAAGGTAACATTTTTTAGACTGAGAGCACACAGTGTGTGTGATAAACATACAACAGAAGAGAATTCCACTAGTGGAAGGGTCAACTTTTGCTCTATCAAACTACTGCCAAAATAATACTGTTGGTCTAATGAACCAGGGACTCTTTTAGGGTTCGTTACCTTGTGAACTACCATTGCTAGAATATTTACATTGCATTAGAAAGCTCGGAATAACCACTTCCCAGTGACAGGTAATGTTATTTATAGTCCTGCTTGTCCATGTGATACTGGACATCAGTATCACATAATTCTGATACTGTCCTGCTTTTCTACCATATGCTTTGGCCCCAGTTAAGCAAAGCACTTAAGCATGTGCTTAAAAAGAGAACTACATAAACAATGAGTGTAATACATAAAATGAAACCCATGCTTTAAAACCAGGTAAAGTCCCATTGACTTTAATGGGACCTCAAAGTTAAGCACATGCTTACGTTTATTGCTGAACTGGAACATGTTAGACTAATCAGAAATGTAATAGTTCAAAGCATTCATTTCTCACTTTTTAGGGTTTCATGAGAATATTGACTTGTAGAGTCATGCCTGCATTGAAGTAGAGAGATGAGAAAGCAAGACAGCAATCAGAATAACCTGATTTTAAGCATGGGGTGTCAGTTTCTTGCATTTATTATTCACCAGTATTTTTTGTTGCTGTTGATTGTGGTGAAAATATCAGACCTTTTTTTCCTCCACTTCTAATGTCTTCAGCACTTTACTTAGCCTTAATCGGTCATTCCTCTTCAATATGAATAGGGAAGCCATCTATCGCATGGGACTGAAGCCAGCTTCTCACGCTTCTTGGCCGAGAGATCCCCAAGGGAGGGGGTATAAATTAACTTTCCTCCTTCTTTTGTGAAACCTTTGGAAAGTTCTCCATAGTTTACATTCCATCGGAAGAAAAAATGTTCTTAGGAAAACATATTTAAGTAGATGCCCTTGCTTCACAGACTAGTAGAAGTGTCCTTGTGGGAGCTCCATTTCAAATGTGCACGTGTCCTTAAGCCCTTCATCAGAGATTTTTGGTGGCAGTGCCTGTCTAACCCACACATGTACCCTACATATCCTTGTGCCCTATACCAAGGCCATATAGAACGGTATAGACAAACCATGGGCAGTTTCTTCTCAATGGCTTTCAGGCAGCGAGAGAATTTAGTGTTCAACTATTTCCTCTTTTATTAGTATTTTTAGCATTAATATTTCTTAGTGGTGGTAGGTTTAGTGTCTTCTATAGTTGTTGGAACATTTGTTCCTGTTTGTTTTTCTCTTTTTTAAAAAAATACATATTTTTGTTGGTTTCCCCTGTTGAGGGACCCTGACAAATTTTCTTTCATCTGGGGTGCTGGTTTCCATGGGTTTTAAAAGGTGCCTCTTAGAACAGGGAAGTTAAATATAGGCTCTTAATAATGGAGCTAGCCTTAAGACTGACTTTTGACTGATTGCAGAGAACAACCCTGTACAAGCTGTTAGAGCTTTGTCATCGTTGAGATTACATTGTCCAAGGCATTGATGTGATTTAAATTATTGCCACTTCATTTACATCAAATGGCCGCCGCGCTGTGCCGATCAGCTGTTTGGTGGCACAGCGGGGCAGTCTGGACGTCGACAAGGGAAGCCTTTGTCAACCGCTCAGGTATGCTTCGTGAAATGAGGTTTACCTGAGCGGTTGACAAAGGCTTCCCTTGTCGACGTCCAGACTGCCCCGCTGTGCCACCAAACAGCTGATCGGCACAGCGCGGCGGCCATTTGATGTAAATGAAGTGGCAATAATTTAAATCACATCAATGCCTTGGACAATGTCATCTAGAACATCATCATCAGTGACTGTTCAGTTCTGTTGTGGCCCTGGTATCACAGGCATCCTGGTATCCAAAACAACTTAAGGTATCAAAAGAGCCTGAGACTCCACTCCACGTGACTTCTAGAGATCACAGCACTGAGGACTGCTGGGTCACTGACTGCTCATGTTTCTGAGAGACGTACCTCTTCCCCAACTTCTTCTGTCCATGAAGAAGGATTGCCACTTTGGATACAGTATGTGGAGGAGCATTCCAACTCAGACGTTGAACTTTCAGTTCCAAGTTCTGCACTTTATTTCAGAATATCAGCCCTTGCCTAAATATATTTCAGATGAACAAAGTTGGATACCTTCCCTCACTTTGTTTTTTGATTCCCCTCACTAGCCTGACTGAGTGGCACACTTTGTGGAATAGTTCATGACTGTGAGTGCCAACTCCTGGGCAGACTGTGATTCCATGGTAGGACTATGCTAGTGCTTTCAGTGGGTCATGAAAAGCATAGAACATACAAAAAGTTTAGGGTGTCTGATTTGCTTTTTGATAAACAGACTGAAATGCCTCAGTTGCAAGACTTAGTTGGTTGCTCTATACCAAAGATTTAGGTTGCCTCCACTCCCAAAAGACAGAGCTGCTTATCTCAAGTCAACTTGTGCCTCTAATCTCAAATCAAAGTCAATGCTTATAGCCAATCTTATAGTTGACTAATTAATGATGTATTAATTAGGGAAAAGTAATACAGGTCAAAGCAGGCAAACACAAATACACAAATGAGCTACAGTCTGTGGTTTGAAAAGATGACAGTTATAGTAATCTGTCAGCACTGGATGTCTTTTAGGGCTAACCCAGGCTCACCCTAG